GCTGCTTTGTGCGCATGCGGTGAACATAATGACGCTCGACCATCTATGCCCATATTTGGACTTCGTGCGTCTCCCTTTCTCGGGCCTCGTGCCTCTCATTGCGAAGATACGCGACTAGCAATATAGGAGTATTACATATATGTTTCTATCGCTATCGCTATTCCATCCATTGTGCAAGGGGCTTTAGTGTGAGAAAGAGCATATCAGTGTGTCTCACTCACACTAGTGGACACAGTGGTCTAGTTTCCACCGAAACATTAATTCACACCTAATGCGACGTAGAATCAAATTTAATGTCGATGGAAATTTGTCAAATTGCGCTAATTTCGCTTCCGTTTCGATCTATAAGTACTCTACTTCCAATGGAAACGGAACACTAAATTTAATCCTTACGTGAGTAAAACCGAATTGAGGGTTTCGGTGGAAACTAGACCAGTGTTACACAATGGGTGCTTTCCAACTACATACACAGGCGACACTGTGTAACACAGTGTCCATTAGTGTGAGTGAGACACACTGATATGCTCTTTCTTACACTAATGAACACAGTGTTACACAGTGTCGCCTGTGTACGTAGTTGGAAAGCACCCAATGTCGCCTGTGTACGTAGTTGAAAATCACCCAAAGTTATCGAAAACTTATCTAGAAGTGAAAAAATTGGCTGTAACTTGTGACCAGATCACACCATAATCCTAGGGAGGTTGTCAGCACTTTTCGTCATTGGCTTGCGAATTGCCAACGCCACGTGTTTTGTCACGTGACGAAGTAGATAAGGACAGAGAAGATGATGGGCGAAATCTACTTCCGATGCACACACTGTCAATTGCACGGCAGCGACTCCATGGTTTTAGCGCGACGCACATACGCATTTCGTCGCCCCCTGTTCGTGAAAATTCGATTCGTTGTGTGTCAAGTGCATCAGCGAAACGACGAGGTATTTGTCGCGTAATTAACAGCAAGAAGATCGTATGGAAACACACCAGAGCTGACATCAAACATCGTTCGAATATATTTGCCAGCTTCCCTTTTGACAGGTAAATTTTGAATCGCATTCCAACAGGTGATACAGATTGACGGTGGAGAGGAAGGAGGAAAACTTGAAACGACAAGTCACATGTGAAACTATCTGTATTCGAAACTGTCTTTATCCAACAAGCGTGGTCGTTGTAAATGAAAAGTTGTTAAAGCTTGTATTAATTTTAATAGTTAAAATATTTTCTTGCATTTATTCCACATTTTATTTTACTAAAAATTGATTCTTTTTTTACTCATCATTTTTATTCATCATTTTTAATAGTTTTTTTAACTCGTCAAACAATACTGGATTTGTGTTACAATGTTGGAAATCGAGATCTCGGACTTGATTTCTGACATCGTCATTGCGGATTCTTTCGTATATTTCATACGAGGCACGAATAACGGTAACGAATACTTATTCTGGTTTCGAACTGTACAACATTCAAGATTTTCGGATATATATGTATACGTGTAATTTTTGCGTCGAACAATGCCACTGGCTTCCGTTCCGATGCACAGTTTTATAAAAGCGAGTTAATAGATCAATCTATTGATAGATCTTGGCAATAGATCTATCAATAAGTTAACTGATTGAATCGTCAGTAAATATAATAGTCAAAATTGAAAAAATCATCAGATTAATAAAAATGCGTTATCTTTATTGTCTTTGCGATTGCACAGATAGAGAGTTGCTAAAAAATAATTACTGTACGTTTGCGCTCTATGTGAAATTGGAAAATAACACAAGAAATAGTTAATGGATTATATATTTTACATATAAGTTATAATATAGGACTATCATTTATTTTGTGATAGGACGATAAATAAAAAGTAGAACTGCTTCTTTGGAGCAGTTACATAATATAACTGCTCTTTGTTATAATGAGTTATAAAACGCACAATCAAGTCTGTGCGTATCATCTAAGTGTCTTCGTAAATGTGCTGCATACTAACAATTTTCATGACTTTGCTTATACATGTAGAATCATGCTGATATGGAATCCACTTGAAGATAAATGACTGGTTTTATATATTATTATCCAGTATTTCTTAGTAATACTTAGCAATACTACTATCATTGGCAGAACATTACTTATCTCAAGATTGTTACATGATAATGATGATGTGTATATGTAATGAAATAATATTTCATGTCTGTATACACCCAGCAAACACTTTGGTTGTCAGATGTCGCGATTTTGTCGCCAACCACCACACCAAATCTATATCCATCTGTGTCCTCGGTAGGATATGGTTTTGGTGAGTTTTGGTGACCATGTTGCGTTTTTTGTGTCTGTGTGTTAACAGATTTGGCAGCACACAAAGCATGTTTTTGTATTGTAGCGTTTCTGCATACAGTTTTTGTTGCCAGGTCTGCGCAGTCAGAAATTGTTTGCTGGGTAGATAAATAGAAGAAGAGAGAAAGAAAGAGAGTTTAATTATTTTCTAAATCTATAAATTTAGCCAGTTACTATAATTTTTTAATGTTTCCAATAAATTTTCCGAGATGTATCTCCATCATGCTGAAGATTTGTTTCAGTTTCATTACTTGACTTAAATCATAATCAAGTAAGGTAAAAATCAATTTGTTGAGCACGTGTGCTACATGATTCTAGTATAGATAATAAAAATTTCATATCTTCCAAGATAATCTTGGTTGGATCTGCTCTTTGATCCTGAATAAATTATTCAAAATAGATATAGATTGTTATATATACCGGAAATCAGGAAATCGAGTAATTTATACAAAAAAATTTACATTTATGATACTTCTAAACAAAAAATTATGCAGTGTACTGACATAACTAATTGACATTGTCAAAAGGATACACGCATAAAAGATCGAATATCTTTAATTCGTTATGTAACTTTTGTGAACTCTGTTTTTCTGGCTGTTCCTTAATGTAAATTAAAATGTATATTTTATTACAATACAATGCGTGTATGTATAAGCGATGTGGTTTTTGATAATTGACTTTAAGTATTTTAATATGATTTCGGCCATATTAAGTCATGACGTCAAAAGCGAGGAAATCAATGCAAATGACAGCATAGATCAACAATACATTGAAACCTGTGTGTCGTAATTAGTTTCTATAAAACACCATAGTTTTGCTGCAAAGCACTAAAAATATCTAATTATGTGAGTCAATCATATCAAATTTTGTAAAATAACTACTGACATTAATTCACAGAAAAGAGTCCAAGGATTTAGTCACTAATGGTCGCCATTGGCCATTGATAACAACCATTAGTAACTAAATCCTTGATCACAATTGAAAACAATTTAATCAATTGCAAGTTATTATTATTGCAATTATCAGCAAAAAAACCGTCAAAGAAAGTGGAAACATTTTAAGTAACATAATTTTGTTTTAGCAAGACTGTATTTCAATACTTACAATTAGAACAAAACTTTATTTAAATAGACACTCTGATTATCGATATATTTTGTTAATTATAAATTTAAAAAAAATAAAAGGACATTTAAAAAACTATTTTAAGTGTATTTTAAGATTTGTTAAATTTATTGTTTTACAATGTATTTATCAATTTTACTCTTGTGTTTTAAAATAATACCTTTTTTTTTGAATATTTTTTAAGATGAATACAAAAATATCCAGATCAGTTTTTTATGTTTTCTTCTCCAGTTTGTATGCTTAAGTCATTTTTTTACGTTTTCTTTTTTATCGTATCTTTTCCTCTTTCCGCCATTAGACTTTTAAATAGTTTCACGATATAGGGATCTTCGTCGCAGACCGTTTGTCGCTGTTTATTTGTCTGTTCGAGATTTGCTGACGCCATTTTTACTTCAATTCTTTCCTCGCTCTGTCCTTCATTCCTCAAATCCTAAAAGAAAAATCATATTTATCTTAGTAAAACTTAAAACAAAAACTTATTTTGTTGTAAGTGCAACACAAATATTTATACAATTTCTTGCTTCTGATTTTTTTTATAATTAAATGACTGAGACATATATTCTTAAGAAAGAGTCTTGAGGATATATATTTTTGTATTTTTTTACGTTGATAATTGATCTTTCTCTGTGAAAACAAGATGCTTGCTCACCTCAGAATTATCTCTTGTTTCATTTTCACTTGTGTTTTCAAGATTGCTCGTCATGACTTTATCAAAGGTTTAATTAACAGATTTATGTTTAAAACTTGAATGTTTTCAGCATTCCCGTTTTTTCTCTTCCTTTTTTTCTGTAATGATAACTGTAAAAAGCAGGAATAATAAATTTCTTTTTCATCGATCCCAATGCAATTTAAAGATCAGTTGTGTAAAATTTATGTTCTGCCTTTAGGTTTTTGCCATGAGAGTATAAGAAAGGCCGAGAGCGCGTGCAGAGACATCATAACAAGCATACTCCTGTGATTAAAATTTTCCCAATCGATTAGCGCCATTGGCGACCGTTAATAATTAAATCCTTGCAATCTCTCCCGTGAATTAACATTAGAAGTTATTTTATAAAAAATTTTGATGTGACTCACATGATCCGAAACAAAATGTCACATAGAAACCGCTCGATAAATGTTTCACACAAATGTAACAAAAGAACTGATATGATGACTGTTGTTTGTTTTTGCACAGTTGGAGATTTGCCGGTATATTTGACAGACAATAGTTCCATAATTCCATTCATAGTTCCATTAGTATTTATATTAAAAGGATGTCTGTGCAATAAAATTGAATTGTAATAATGTAACATCACAGCAATCTCGTTGACTATTACTATCATCATCATTACTGCTAGTGTTATGGTATGTGTGGATATGTGTGTTTATGTTACCGGATATATTTAAACCTTGACCTTGTAAGCATTATTGCGATTCACGAGTTTGTCTTTCGACGTCAGTGTATCAAGGACAATCTCATAAAAAACGTTTCGCAATTCAAAAACGTTTTTTCAATTCAAAAAGTCTGGTAACATTATAATAAATACTTTTTTACTTGTCTAGTCAGACAAAAAATTAAGAAGAGGTAGTCAAACAGGTATTATTTTTTTGGTTTGAAAAATTTATGTGTTTATATAATATGTTAATTTCCTTCTCGCAATCGTGATGTTTTAATTGTGAAGAAAGTGCGTGTCTTTTTTATTTACATTTTCTTTCTTGGCTTTCACTTTCTCGATTGAACGAAAACTTCTATTTATCTATCACGCACACTGCAATATTTTTAAGTGTTTATTGTGAAATTTAATAAATCCGTAAATCTGAAAACAAGCACTAAATAGCGCTAATAGCGCAGCAAATTGCATAGCAAATTGAGATAGTTTTTTGATACATATTTTTTTTATCTAAAGTAATTAATAAGGTATTATCAGACAATTAGTTCATTTGATGTAAGTTCTCATATGAAGATAAGAAATTATCAATGTAGTAGAATATATCGGTTGAATATTTGTCCTGAATATAGAATATATAATTTATACATATATTTTTATTTTACGCGGTTTTAAATTTGTATAATTAAACTTATAACATATATTAAGATACATATATATATTTTAATTTATGTGTGTACGGAGAATCTAGAGAAACTATAAAACTAGAAAAATTATAAGTTTTTAATGACTTCAAGTATATAAATACGAGCAATTAAAAGTTATGATCACAAGCTTCCGGTATATTCATAGTTTGCATCTTATTAAATAGAAAATTGAACGATGAAAAAGTAAAAAAACATACGTTATTAAATCTCAAATATAATATAGTTTAATATATTGTATACAAAAAGAGATAAAAATCTCGTCAGATAAGAATAAATTCGTCTCGTGCAAATCTTATCTCTTTGGCAATTTATATTGTACATATAAGGAATAATGACTTGCTACTTCGCCGTCATCGATGACGTCAAGCAGTGGCTAGCTTTATCTGCAAATGAGAAACTCGAACGTGTTACTGGCGTAGCATATCATAAATCGGTTCAGTTCTACACCGACCATCGTCGGAAGAGAGAGTCGTTAGGAAAAACCGGCTCTTGTCATATAATCTACCTGTAACGTTTGATCATCCCGCGCGCACATCTTCTCGCAACTTATCGTTATTTCAGAAAAAATGGATCTGCCGGTAAGAGAATATCACAATTACGCATAAAAATTTGAAATTTTATAACAACGTTACTGTTTACACTGTTAAATATTTTAAATAAGTAAAAGTCCGTTTGGTTTTTGAATAAATAACAATTTGAATAAGTAACAATAAGTATGTACATAAAAAAATTGAAATATTTGAATTATCAACCAATTGCAACACTTGAAGTATCTCCGACTTTTTCGTTATTTTTTCAAAAGTTATTATAAGAAATCAATTTTTTCCTGTTTTTATTTATTGACTGTGTATAGTGTAAGATTAAAAAACCGGAAAATTTGCAATGTAGTTAATAAACACGTATTTATTAATTACGTTGCTTTTTTTATTAAAAAAGAGTTTTTTAAAATCATTTTGTAACGTTTCTAACAACGAGGTAACTTGCGGAATAAAATACATCTATGCTAAGTATTAAAAAGTAAAAACTACAAGTATTAGATAAGTCGATAGATAAATAAACGAATAAGTAAACGGTTGAAGAACAAAAAAGCACAGATAAAGAAAGCTGTTGTAGGTAGATAAAATAGTTGAATATGTATTATTTTCAGAAGAATATTAGTTAAGAACGTAATAGCTATTTCCTTGATCCGTTATGCAATTTTAATTAAACGGTGACGTAATGATTATGTAAGTTTTGCTCTTTTTTTGTTATTTATTGCTGTAATAGATAATTTGTCTTATAAGTCAACATTAATGAAAATGACATTAAAGAATATGATGTTATATTGCCGAATAATGCAAAATATTTGTGTTGTCATTGTCGGTTGTGAGTCATAACTAATTAAAGAGGCTTGAGATATCTAAAACATAACAAAAGTGTTTGAAATTTGAGAATCTTGTTGATCATAAAAATTTACAAATGGTTTCAACATTTATTTTCATGGAAAATTCCGAGAAAATCGTAGTTGAAAACTTGGTAATTTCAGACTTTTAACATGAGAGCTTATATTATAACAGAAAAAAAGTTTGGTGAAAATAACACTAGCTAGTTTAATCCTTTTCGCAAAAAGATCTTTCTACACATTGAAAAAGATAAAGAAAATAATTAGATAAAATGCGAAAAACGATGATTTTTAGGATTATGGAGAAAATGTGGGATAACAGCGCAATCAACTGTTTATTGGTCACATTTGAAGTGGAAAAGAATAAGAGTGTAGATACCATGAAATAAGAGTAAGGAGATCGAACTTGATAGCGCGCGAATGGAAAAAGTGGTCCCGATTTTTACGGTTCATTGGGAGGGAATCCGCTCAAGGGAATAGGTTTTTACGGTTGGACGCCATTTGCAAAACTGTGCATGTACACAACTAACACATGTACACGTTTAGTTTATGTAACAAGATAGATTACATACACTAAACGTGTACATGTGTTAGTTGTGTACATGCACAGTTTTGCAAATGGCGTCCAACCGTAAAAACCTATTCCCTTGAGCGGATTCTCTCCCAATGAACCGTAAAAATCGGGACCACTTTTGTATCACGGAGTTCGATCTCCTTACTCTTACTTCGTGGTAGATACATCTCGCAAAAACTCCATTACGACGACCATTAGACGTCAATAGCGCCATGCGATATCTAATAGATGTCTAATGGAGGTTTTGTTCTGTGTGAATAATAACAAAGTGAAAAGTAAAAACTTGTTAATTACTAATAGAAGGTAGATAGTTATCATCCTATTATCTTCTTCCTTCTGAATAGTCCCAAACCTCTTTAACGAACATATGTCGTATGTACGAATCTCGTAATTTCCGATTTTATTTAAAACCAACTCAGACTTAACAGATAACATCAAGAACAGTATTGTTATCTTAACTTGAATATTTTCTACTTATATTTTTTAGTAAATATTTATAATTTTTTTATCATTGAACAAATACTGTCATTACGCACCCATTATTCATTGACAATAAGGCTGCGTGTGACAATATTGAGTGCCTAGCATTGAATGAGACGATGAGAGATTTTGGATTCTCAACATCATTCCCAAAATCTATTCGAATAACACAACTATGAAAAATGTCACTGTTCGCGTAAAAATTCATTCCAAGCGATTGAACCGGATCTCTGAACCGCTCATCACAATTATATACTGGCTTTTAACAAGTCTATTATATCTTCTTTTTAATATTGTCCTTGAGAAAATAATTAAAGATCCGATAAGCTTAGACGTAAATGCACAAAGTACATAATAATAAGTAAGAGAAAACACTGTCAGTAATTGGATTGTGTAGTTGTTAATATTGAAACAACAATATTACTTTTTGTAACAATAAAATAATATTTTTCTATGTGTACATAACAGACGAATCGAAATTCACATGCAGACTGAAGGACAAATATTTATACAACTGGAATAATTTAATATTAATATAATTGAAAATACACACAAGACACAACATTATCATAATTGTGTTTATATAATTAGTAAAATTGTATAAAGTTATTATTATTAAAAACGAACAAAAGCAAAGCAGAAAAAACTTTTAGAATGTGTAACATTTTAACCGGTTAACTGGCACGGCTTTTTTTATTCATGCCCGAACTGGCAACATCGAAAAATTAAGTGAATCCCACAAGATTTGGTATACAAGGGTTTTTTGAGTCGCTGACGTCGATTCCGGGGGTTATCTTTTTGATCTGACACTCCCCAACCCCTAAAAAATAGAATTTAGGGGTGAGTTTTTTCAATTCTTTACTAAACCTTTTTTTTTATTCTGTCGCTTGTATTGCGGAATGAATAGGGGTTTAGGGAGTTAATTTTTTAGTTTTTTCAGTTTCTACGAAACAGTTTTGAATAATTTTATACCTGAATTCTTCATCCATAAATTCCACCGCAAGAGCTTTTGAAAATCTGATTTCAGATTTGACAGCCATTTTGAGTCTGCCATATTGAAATTTAAAATTCCAATGCCAAATTCAGATTCAGCGATCTCAAAAACCATTACATACCAAGTTTCATTCAAATCGTTTGAAAATCAAGAAAGTTATTTCATTTGAACATATATGATACATAAGCAGAATTGGCCAGATTTTTTTTTGATCATATATGATACATTGCCAGTTAACCGGTTAAGTGCCAAGATGTATTGGCACATCTATTATTTGCATGATAATAAGTCAAAATGTTTTAAAATGGATTTTTAAACGGATGTAAATAAAGACAAAACAGGAAAAAGAAGTTTGAAGCATGCAATACTAAATGCCAAATGTGTGATAACAGGATAGTCGACATGGTTTGTTAAATGTATTCACGTTTTATGTTATGTCTATCTATTATCACACTGACATTCAGCTTCGATGAAATACGTGATAATAAAAGAAACGAGTCATGTTGTTAAAATGCTCACGTATTGCGGTGATCTCTTTGTTTGTAATTTTTAATGACCATTACAATAAGATCACACAATAAGAACAGAATAACTCGACTTTGTATATATTCGTGTAAATGGAAATTTGGACTTCAAATGATTCACAATTTCAGAATGGCTCGCAATAATATACATTTTTATTTCCGAGTTTTCTTTATTAATAAAAATCAAGAACGCGCCAGTTATCAAGAACATGAAATAAAAAAAGATAAGATAATACAACAGAGTGTCTCATATGTGTACAGTAGTTGAAAGAAATATATACGAGACGAGAAGTGTTTATAACAAGAATGCCCTTTCCACTAGCGTTAAAGTCAATGATAACGGTGTTTTTATTACAGACTGCAGACGCGTCGCAACCGAAGGCCGTAAGAATGGCAGGATCGCCACTATTGGAAGACGGTAGCGACTCGGAATTACTCGACAAGTCCTCCATCAGTTTTCTAGATGCGTTAATGGCAATTGTTATCGTATGGGGAACAGTATGGCTGTTCCGAAGGTGGAGGCAGAGAGGAGAGGACTCTGTACCAGCACCAAAATCCTATTCTATCCAGTAATTGTGTCTTTTATTTTGCAAACTAATATATCATTTAGCGAAACTTGCTCTTAAATTCAGTTTACAATCGATCATCTTTGTAATTATTTTCTATTAATTTTACTAATAAAGATAAACGGCTTGAAAAAAAAATTACGTTGACTTGTGCTAATTTTCTGAGACTTACAAGGTTCAACAACTTTTTTTAAATTAATAAAAAATACAAGATGATAAATATATAACGTAACTTATATATTTAATCCTTCACAGACAGACATGTTTTCTCAGACCCATTCAAAAATTGCGCATCAGCGTTTCTAGTAAAAATTAGTTTTTTTTTCTAAACGCTTATATCTTTGTAACTACTAAACTTTTTTCACTTTGTTTTTTATCGACGCAGAATTGTTCAAACTTTTGATTTAAAAAAAAAAAAAAAAAAAAAAAAATGAAAAAATAGTGATTTTTCGCAGAGATATTTGATTTTAAAGTCGTATGGCTTACAGGCTTAGTCTGTCCATGAAAGATTAAAAAAAGTATTTAATCTTGGAATGTCGATTGTTATTAGTATGACAATGTCGGTAAATGGACTGTTTATCTTTTATTCAGTAATTAATGTTAAAAAAACAAAATCAAAGTGTTTCTAGATATTTATAATTCATGACAGGCCGACATCATTCACCGCGGTATCGCCGTCAGAGAATTCGTTTATCAAGAAATTGCAGAGTTCCGGACGAAGTCTGGTAGTATTCTACGGTAGCCAGACCGGCACTGCCGAAGAATTTGCTGGTCGCTTAGCTAAAGAAGGTATCAGATACAAGATGAAAGGCATGGTGGCCGATCCAGAAGAGTGTGACATGGTATGTATGAATCACAAAATCATTAAAAATCTATAATTTTGAAAAAAATTAATTACATTCACACAAGTTGCAATTCACAGAATATTTAATAACATAAACTTCATATATTATATGAAAATGTTTTGTTCTTTTCTCATGTGACGGGAATTTTACTAATTCAGCATATTGTCAATTAATACAGTTAGATAAGAGTTAATAAAGAGTCTTTAAGGCTCTTGAAATTCAAACAACGTGAAATTTTCGGTTAATGAGAGTCATATGCTGGAATATTTTAAGATTAGTTAAGGGAGTACACGGGATCTCTCATATATGTGATGCAAATATAGCATCTTGTATGAATTTAAGAATTGAAATTCGAAATCAATTCGAAATTTACGTGCAAATTTACACGAATATATATGTATATATGTATATATATATATTTGTATTATATTTGTATTATATTTGTATTATAAATAACTCTTATCTAACAATGTGAAATTTTCGGTCAATGATAGCCATACGCTAGATGTTTGTATTGTGTGTGTGTGTGTGTGTGTGTGTGTGCGCGCGCGCGCGCGCGTGTGTGTGTGTGTGTACAATATATATACACAAAATACGCGACAAACATCCAGCGTGTGGCTATCATTGACCGAAAATTTCACGTTGTTAGATAAGAGTTATTTACACTGCTATTTTCTATAAAGTGATATTCAATTATCACTGTTATCGTTATGCAGGATAGAATCTTATATTTTAAGAAATTTTTTTATTCCGCTAATATATTGTAAATATGTTGATGATATTATTTTAGCTGTATATATGAAATGTTACAAAGAAGTTTTAAAGATTTTTTATGCATGTAACAACAGACTTAAATTTATTATAGACGTTAATAAAAATAACTTTGTAAGTTTTCTAAGCGTATTTAGTATTACATATTGTTGATGTATTTTGATTGATATCATAAACCAATATTTTCAAAGAGATACATTTCTATTCTAGACATCTTTGCCAGATAAAAGATTCTATAGTTGATTTAGTTTATAAAGTTTTCTTGCTTACTCATTTATGTTTTCTACGAGAGACATTTACAACTTCTAATAGATACTCTTTTATCTAACGAATATCCTCTGAAATTAATATTCAATAATAATTTTTAAAATTTGTTTAATGGCACGATAGAGAAAATTGCAAAATGAATGTTTTCTGCTGTAATAGGAAGAACTGGTGCATCTAAAAAACATCTCAAACAGTTTAGCAGTATTTTGCTTAGCCACTTATGGAGAGGGAGATCCTACTGATAACGCGATGGATTTCATCGATTGGCTCAAAAACGGTGACGCCAATCTCACAGGATTGAATTATGCAGTTTGTATATATTATATTCAATTTTTAATATCTGTTGGAGCGCATATTGCATCATATTTGAATTATTGATTTTGCTTATTGTGGATTTCCACATAATACTGTCTCATTTCTTTATGGTACTGTTTTGCTTGTGGGTCTTGTTACTAACGCCGCCACTGACATTGCGTAAGCAAGCGCGGTGACTGTGAACTCTGAAGCAGTAGCACAGTAGCAGTAAAGCACAGTACAGTACAGTCAGTACACGTGCGACGTTCCGCGCGTGATAATCACGTGACGGAGTCGTGAAACTCTCAATTTCTCGGACAGATACCTAGTCAAGATTGATTAACGTCGAGAGGTCGTAGAATTTAATGACAATCAAAGCTTGAAGTGTCTTGATAAACGATTAAACATGATCAAGTTCATGAATATCAAAACTTGCGATAATATTTTTCGCTTTTTTCTCTGGCAGTGTCGTGACGGTGGCGCTGCAATGCGGTGCGCAGTGACATTACATTTGCCATTCGAGGTATCATTCGAGTTTGCAAATCGATAAAGATTCAAATTTAAAATTTGTTTGGGAATTTTTTCAGACGCTCGAATCATTCGAATTTCAAATTTTTGAAATTGTTTTGTTTTTCTAATGAATTTCCCTAAGTTACAATATACAGTGAGACGTTTGCATAATTGTATTTTTCAGGTGTTTGGACTCGGTAACAAAACCTACGAGCACTACAACGAGATTGCTATATATGTAGATCACAGATTAGAACAATTAGGTGCTACGCGTGTTTTCGAATTGGGTCTTGGTGATGATGACGCCAAGTGAGTTTTATAAACATAGTTTCTTCGCACAAAAATACAATACTTTTACGTAACTTTAGATAAGTAAGATAGTAACCTTAGATAAAGTAAAAATGTTTGCAATTTGGTATGTTTTTTTTTTTATTTTTTTTGTTTTTTATTTTTTTTCATTAAATATAGCATAGAGGATGACTTTATCACATGGAAGGACAAGTTTTGGCCAGCAGTCTGCGAGTTCTTCGGCATCGAAGGGGCAGGCGAGGACGTCAGTATTCGGCAATACAAACTTACGGAGCATGTGGATCTACCGGCTGATCGCATTTACACTGGAGAACTCGCTCGTCTTCATTCCTTTGCAAATCAGAGACCGTAAGTTTCCATCAATGACTCTCATTTTTATATTTATCAAACTATTATCTTTGATTGTTTTTATTACATAGACCGTACGATGCAAAGAATCCTTTCCTGGCTCCGGTGAAAGTAAATCGTGAACTGCACGGTCCGACGTCCGAGAGATCATGCATGCACATCGAGTTTGACATTGAGAACTCCAAAATACGTTACGAAACAGGCGATCACTTGGCTGTCTATCCTGTGAACAACGCCGAACTAGTAAATAAAATTGGCGAACAATGCGGCGCGAACTTGGACACTGTTTTTACTCTCACGAATACGGACGGTAAGTTCTTTACTTTCCAGTTTATTTTTTTTAGTAAAAAAACTTATCCATTTTTTCTTAAAATGATGTTACTTGTTTTACAGAGGAATCTACGAAGAAGCATCCATTCCCTTGTCCCTGTAGTTACAGAACCGCTCTGACGCATTACTTGGACATTACAAGCAATCCTCGGACGCATATTCTCAAAGAATTAGCCGAGTACGCGAGCGATCCTGCGGACAAGGAGAAGCTGAAACTGATGGCGTCTACCACCGTAGAAGGCAAAGCAGCTTATCAACAATGGGTAGTTCAAGAAAATCGTAACATCGTGCACATTTTAGAGGATATTTCTAGTTTGAAGCCACCGTTGGATCATCTGTGTGAACTCTTGCCACGATTACAGTGTCGCTACTACTCGATATCTTCGTCTCCGAAGGTATGCATATTCGGTTAAATAAAAAACAAGATTAAATATTTTCGAAAAAAAACAATTGTTTCATGAAAATAAAACTTTATAGCTTTATCCGAACTCGGTTCATATTACGGCGGTTGTGGTAGAATACAAAACACCGACTGGCAGGATAAATAAAGGTGTGACAACCACCTGGTTGAAGGAAAAACATCCTTCGGATCCACTTTGCCTCGTCCCGATCTTCGTAAGAAAGTCTCAGTTCCGTTTACCGACGCATCCAAGCACTCCCATTATCATGGTCGGCCCGGGAACTGGCATAGCGCCGTTCCGAGGTTTTATACAGGAACGAGATTTCGCGAAAAAAGAAGGTAAGGAGTGTTCGCTCGGTTTTTATTATTTCACAATACAGCACTTTGTTTTGATCGCACAATGTGATATTTTGATCTTCAGGTAAGAAAGTGGGCGACACAATACTCTATTTTGGATGCAGAAAGAGTCAAGAGGATTATCTCTATCGCGAAGAATTGGAGGAATACGTGAAGAGCGGAACTTTGATATTGCACACCGCGTTTAGTCGGGAGCAATCGCACAAAGTCTACGTCACGCACTTACTCGAGAAGAACAAGGACGAAATATGGCGCGTTATCGGAGAACAGAATGGACACATCTATGTATGCGGGTTAGTAGAGCTAACTGAGTTCGTACTTTTCTGTTGCAGGGAGAAAATTTCAATTTTTGCACGTATGTACATATTCTACGTGGTTTTTTCAGAGATGCAAGGAATATGGCCCGTGATGTACATAATATACTGGTCAAGGTCGTGATGGAACGAGGTAACATGTCGGAGCTCGATGCCACAAATTACATTAAGAAAATGGACTCGCAGAAGCGGTATTCCAGTGATGTGTGGAGTTAAATAATAATACTAAGAATATTACTTCGTTATAGAAAAGAATAGACTAAAGTTTTCAAGTGTGAAAACCGATATTTTGACACTCGAACTCGATTTATCAGAGTACGAGATGATCGCTGATAACTGCAATTTACTTGCCATTCTTTGTTCAATGATAAATTGACATTTCTTATCTATTGATTTTAATCCCGTTATATGCCTCGTTCTACGAATAAGGTAATGTAATTGAATTAATATACGTCAGGATTCTGAGCAAGTCCCGTTATCCGGATGCTCGGATATCATCGGAGTCCTATTGCGTGTCAGAAACTCAAGCTAGCATTATATACATGCTTTATTTATATACATGGTCTGCTCTATGGAGAATGGCAATTTCACTTATTTCCATATAAAAAAAATAAATTGCGCAATGTCACCTACCAATGCAAATTTGTTCTCAGAGAAGAATCACTAATTCTCAAAAAATTAACAAACCTAAAAAGTACAATTTCCTCTCTCTTCGTAAAAAAAAGACAGAATAATCGAAACTCGAGTAAGTACATAGTTTATAATATGCCAGACATGTAATAAAGTAAACAGCGCGCGTCTCTCAGTCGTGTCATTGTATTTAAAGTACAATGGTATTAATCATCTTTGTTCATCAAGTTATTTTATATAAATAACTTTTTTAAACAAAGAAGATAGAAAAAAGTATTCTATCTTTGCTCACATGTAAATAATTATTATAACCTTTACATGAATTATGTGTTAAATCATATGTAAGAACTTCGTGTTGGTACAATACATTGTGATGAAATGGGTTTGTTCATGCAAATTGTACAAATAGTTTCATTATCTTTCTTTAATTCATTGTTTATTACGCATTCGCAATTGTCCAAACATAATGCGCCAATTTGTCTAAAACATTAAGCAACGAATACTAATTAAACAATTTGTAACAACAAATATAATAGTTTTTGTAAGATTAATATACATTGTTGTATACAAGTGTGAATAATCAATGTGTTGTACGCATTGTTTTGCACAATAGATGGCTTGTAGAATTGTCGAGTCTTAGGGCCAAAACACAGACTTTTACATAAATGCATAGCGCATAAGACATAAGAGAATCAACCAATCAGAGCCTTTTAGAACGAGAAATAGAGACAAAAAATAGAAGGCTTAATTGGTTACTTTATTTGTCTTATGCATTTATGCAAAAGTCTCTGCTTCGGACCTTACTAAAGACTTTTTAAACTTATTTGGTTTTGAATAATGCGTATATAACTAATTTTGTGTCCGAGATGGTCATTGTTTGAATATTTATCTATTTGATTATTTATCTATTATTATTTATTATTCGATATGTGTGTCTACAGATGTGTATATCTTTTTGAAGAATGAAACAATTTTCGTAATTATATTTTTACAAACTCATTCGTATAAATTATATATTTGTAAAGCAAATACAACGTGTGTGCGTTATTACTTGATATTTTAATAAAATTGTGTCCATTTCTGTAATGTTTTATATTTTACATAAGTAGAATCAGAATTGATTAATTGATTGTTATTTGTACAATCGGCGGCGACATCTAAGATGTCGATGTGTGTTGCAACGAATAAGATGTACAATCTGTTTATTTATGTAAGACACTTCGTCACTCCCTACGTATAATTACATAAGTCACATACGGGATTTTTAGTTTATTGCATGGTGACACTTAGAAAGTCATGTTCTTTGTGATCACCAAATATTTAAAAAAATATTCATAAGTAAGGTAAAAATTTAAAACCGAATGATCCCTTAAGTAGAGAAACTATATGAAGCTTTAAACTTTTAAACTGCTCTCCTCTAAAATTTGCGTTTTGGAGTTACGGGATTATAGGGAGTGACGATTTGTAAATTGAAAATACCAAGATATATGTATATAGAAAATCCTGTTTCTCCATAGTAATTGTATAATGAAAACGAAACAGTACGATAATTATAATTTTTGTATGATACACATATAGGGATGGTAAATAAATAAAAATTACATTAATTCATTATAATGTCGAATAATTTACGTTATACAATTAAACAAACACGTATGTCTTTGAAGGTGCAATTTCATGCAGCAAAGTTCCTCTGGCGAAGTTTTCCCACTCCGCCGATTTGTGCGAAAATGTGTAGTCACCGAAGGACGCTCAAAGTTTAACATCGCTCAACTATCAACAAAGCAATGCAGCAAACAAAAGCGTTCCGATATTCACTGTCAGTACAAAAAAAATCTATACATGCGCTATAAAAAATTAAAACTTGATTTAATGCTACAAAAAATTCTTTTTATCTGTATTGTATAAACTACAAACAATTATTTCTTTAAAAAATCTGTTTTACAAAAGAAATGATATCAAAAAGTAACACTAAAGCCCCTTGCACAATGGAAGGAATAGCGATAGCGATAGAAATAACACAGTTTTTAACACAGAATTCCAACTCATCGGAAATTTTATCGCTATTGCTTATTCCGATTTTCTGATCTGCATTGATACATGTGTAGTTTTGTATGTTAGATTCCGC